GAATTTTTTTTTTTTTTTTTTTTTTTTTTTTTTAATTCGGGGTGGGGCGGCCGATCAGGAAGCCGGGTGGCATTTGTCGAGTGAGGGCAAGTCGTTTGCATTCAGCGTGGCAGGCAATGCATCAAAAGATGACGGCTCTCCCATTCCTCCTTAAACAAGAGTGGTGAGACTCCCGCTGGCCGTGCCTTAACTTTAATCATTCATCTAAATAACTGTTGTAGGAGTCGGCCGCCGTGCGTGTGTGTGTGGCTGACGTCTCCTGAATTTCTCATTTGTAAACATATATTTGAGTCAGATTGCAAACACACACACACACACACACACACACACACACACACACACACACACACACAACTCGCAATGTTGGGCCCAGGCTGTCAGTGTTGTAATCTCAATGCATGACAGTTTTAGCGGGCAACCACGCCCAACTGCTGGCACCTCTGGTAGAGCCGAGTAAACCAACAGGTCCAAACATTGTTGAATTGTAGACTAGACTGTTAAAAAAAATGTGATCATGAACAGCCGCAAACAAGATGGAAGGAGTAAAGGGAACCCTTGTAAAACGTGAAGTAAAATGATGGGAAAACATTTTCTGTGGTTAGGATGAATGTTAAATTGGTTAGAGGGGGGGAAAAAAAAAAAGCTCAGAACTCCTCCTGGTCTCCTTGTGCGCCTTCATCAACATCGTCATCATCTGGTGGTGCAAACCCCTCCTGCAAAACAAGTGGAAGCGTTTCAACATGCTTCTGCACGTTGTTATGTCTTTCATATTTTCAGTTGCAGGGAAGTCGCAAATCATTTCTGATCACGTTAACGACTGAGGAACTGAACAATTTCATGAGCTCAAGTCAAATTATTTTAGATTTGTTATTTTTATATTATTTGGTTTAAAAGTAATAACATGGAGATCGAGATGTCAAAACGGCACTGTGGTATGACATTACGTTGATCTTATTGAACACTAAATGATTTGCTTTTTTGGGGGGGCTGCCGCTGCTTGTTGCGATAACGGAAACAAAATTTGGATTGTCGATGCCTCCGCTGTAGGTTGACGATGGAATCGCTCAATGGATGGCTTTTACCTCTGTGGCATAGAGTATCTCCATGATTTTGTTGAGGACCGGGTTGCTTCCATTCTCTCCGTCCTGGCAGATCAATTCAATGTCTCTCAGCTTGCCAAAGTAAAAGTCCCTCTCCTTCTCTAGTCCATCCAAAGTCAGCTTCATATCCAGTAGCTACGTTGGCAGAGAAGATGAAAAGAAAATGCATACAATTATCACAAATTAGATAAGGGCTGCGATATGCACATTCCCTCGCAGCCCCCAATTGAGACATCTTCGACCCTTGACAGCAAAAAGTCTTATCGCTACCTGCTGGTTCAGCTCCATCAGCTCCGAGTCTCCTCCATTGCGTGTCATGGCGGGGTTCCTGCGGGCTGCCGGCGCATTGATCTGCCTCTGCGGGGTGGGGACACTCTTGGGTGCGGTGGGAGAAGTTCTGATGGGGCCTTCAAAGACACAAACGCACACTTGAGTATCTCTGCGCTTGCCGGGAATCAATCGCCTGTGGATCTACGGCGGTTAGAAAAAGGTGCGACCGCCCTGGAAAATGCGAACCTCATTTTTAGACCAGACAATAGCTGAAAAAGTCATTCTGGACTTTTCCAGAAGATGTGGAAATAGTCCTTATTGTTCAACAATAAGCATGAATGAAGTGAGCCCGTCCTCATCTTTGCAACAGTCTGCTTTCCTACATGAGAGGGCGAGCAGAGGGATTTGCGCTGAGAAGTTGGAAGTCTCAACTAGGAACGGATAATGATTGTCAGGTCGGTGGGGGGACCCACACGCACACAACAAACACTGACATTTAGAGCGCCTCAACCCACTACAGCAAACATTAGAACAGACCAATCCAGGTTGAGAGTAAATATTGTGAGGAAAGTGAGTATGGACAAAACACAAACACACACGCCGCCGTGAAATGGGCGTTACCTGAGCGAGCAGGTCTGTTGGGTTTGTGGACAATGGGGTCACCTGTGTTAGAGGTGGGGACGTGGTTGCATCAAGAGGAAGAGACATGAAATGAAGCCTATGTTTTTCACACACGCACGCACGCACGCACAAGTGATTGTATCTTGCACGCACAAACACGCACACACAACTTGCATGTGCCTCATTGTACCTGAATTGGGCGGCGGCGGCGTTCCCTCGAGGCCCTGGCGTAACAGTAGAGGGTCGTATTCTTTGCCATCATAGTTGGCATCAAAAAACTTCTTAAACCACTGAAGGAACTCAAAGTTGTCCTGGAATTTGCCCTTGACCAGCCTCTCGACGGGAATGATCTGAGGGAGGGACACCGTTTGAGGACAAGCAGCTACGGCAAGCAAAACGAGACATTGTGAAGTTCGTCGTGGCTGACCTTATCGACAGACATCCTCTTGAACGACGCCTGCAAGACCTTGAAATTGTGAATGTATTCGTGTTCCAGTTTGGCATTGAATTTGACTTTTTTCAACAAAATGCACCCTGGAAACAGCATGTCCATGAACTGACAGTACGCTGCGCCTGAAGAGAAGACATCATCACGTCAACATCGGATTTCGCGTGTGCGCATGCATGCGTGCGTGCGTGAGCTTACCTGAACCGAGTTGCTCGATCTTGGTGTAAGTGAGCTGTAAGGAGTCGTTGACCCACGCCAACATGTCATGGCGACTCAGGTTCTCTATGGTCATAGAGGTGGAGTAGACATTCACCGCCATCCTCCTGTTTCAAATCAAGTCGACACTCAGAAAGCAGAAACAATGTACTTGATTTGAAAACAGTGATTTATACATCTCGATTTTTTTTTTGTTTGTGTCCATATGAGTAGACTACAGCTGTTCAAAGTATGGCCTGGAAATCATCTGTGACCCACTGTCCACTTTGAATTTTTGCCTGGATTGTACAACTGGATTGTATTCGTATCTTCCGATTCCTCATTTGCCACATATCACTAAAATAGCAACGAGATTTGGTTTGCTAACACCCCACTGAAAGAAGATAATTAAGGTAAGTAGCATGAATTGTGATTGGTGCTCCACTTTCTGCCTTGTTTCAAGGTCATCTTGATTTGGAGAAGAATGTGGACACGATTGGGCTGCTGCTCCGTACAAGGGAGGAGCTATTCTATGTTGTGGAATACGTGGTCACAAGCCACACAGAAATGGACAAAAATCCTTGCATTTTTACCTTATCATGACACCATTATTTAAAAATAAATATAAAACAATATAACATTTGAATATTCTTACCTACACTAGAGGACTGGTTTTAGTGTGTTAAATTTTTTTTTTTTTTTTTTTTTTTAAAGAATCTTAAAATGCAGTGAAAATACTGTCGGAATTGTAGTGACTTTAGGAGGCGGGGCCTGGTGGCGCGGCACGTGCGGACGGGTCCTCTGCGTGTGAACGTTTGGGTGTGAACCGTCGCTAAGTGCAGCTCCTGCGTGCTCACCACATTAATGTATTTCATTGTTCTACCGACATTTAATAGAGGGCTGAAAAGTACTTCGCAGCTGTGGTCAACACCTCATCCGTCCGGAGCACGGAGTACGTGATTTGACGTGAAAAGTAATCAATAGCCAACTACAAAGTGCCCTATACAAGGAGTATAAAAAGGAAAACTAAGTTGAGAAGCTCAACTATCGTGGTGGTAAAAAATAATAATAATAATAATCGATGTACTCATATTGCTCACCTTCAGTGGGTGTGTCGTGGTGTAAACCGCTGAGAAGCAGGTTGGTCTGGACCACCTTAAAACAAGTCCTTGGGCACATCAAAAAAGGAACATTAATGAAGACAGTCACGCACTCAATTACTTAACAGTTTTGCTTAATCCCCATTTAACGGTTTAACCAAAGCTAGTTAACAAAGGCAGCTGTGATAAGGGGGGGGGGGGGATCCGACACCACCAAAGCATTTCCCGTCGTCCCAAATAACAGCGCACAGGATGTTGTGCTGAATAATCATTTCCTGACAGCAGAGATTCACAGAGGTAACTGTCCACTCAGCACACGCTGCTAATTTGCTTGTGGCAGCTGATGACGCCACAGGACCGTTTCGAAAAAGTTGATATGCAGTCAATCTAAAAACTAAGCCTGATCATTCACAGAGAAGTGAAATGTGAAAAACAGCATCAGATTTAGAACATTATCTGTCCAACTGACAACACAGAGAAACGCATCCTGTCCGACGGGAATACCAGGTGTCCACTTGAATATATAAATGTGACACCTAAAATAGACACTTCTTCTTCCTCTCAGGAAAAACAATTTTTTTTATGGGTTCAACTTGTGGGCGGCACAGTGGTCGACTGGTTAGCACGTTCAGTATAATATTTGCATGGCGGAAAAATGTGTAAGTCGATAACAACTACACTGCCAGCATGTGTCACAGTAAACGTCCATAATAGCAAATCAGACATGGCATCTGTAAAGCTGAAAAGCCGTTTACGTGTTTTAAAGAGAAAATGGTGCATTCCAGAGCTTAAGCTGTTCAACATTTCAACATTTACCCCAAAAACCAATTAGATTGTTAGCCTATTAAATAACAGAAAACCGTGGTATAATATAATCAACATAAGTCTGCAGACAGTCATTTGTTAGTGTTTCGTCAGGCGTGATACAATGAATACAAATAGTGACACTAAATTCCTGAGGAAAGGACAGTATCTACCTGCTGTTCTGCAAAAAAAAAATATATATAGTATGATAGTATGTGTCTGATGTGATGTGATTTAATTTAATTGCATGGTGATCACAAACGTTTTAACTCGTCATCAAACCGAGCAGAACGTATCTTCTGTTTTGGCACAGCAACAGAACGTCGGAAGCGTACACGAGAGCACCAGATACAAATCAAAACAGAGTAAAGTCATCAATAATGCACGTGATCAGTGCTCGACATGCTTGGAAGCAGTGGACGTGTTTCAGCGAGTTGACATTACAACCGCGCTGCTGCTAGCGCCTTGCTAACTTCTGCTAACGTTGACTGGGCAACTAAAGTAGCATTTGGGGGGCTCGTGGCAAGTACAAACGTAGATTTGGCGGCGTGTCGAAGTGGAAATATGCACACGAGTCATTGAAACGTGGACTTGTTCGGTGTGAAGTTAACGTTACCCCCTCTGGAGGCCTGAACGAAGACACACATTACTAAAGAAAGGAGGACTGTCACCCCGTGTGACGCTGCGGCAATTAGCCCGTCGACCCGACAATAAAGATGAGATAAAGCAGTCCCTATACACATGTTACGGTGCAAATGAGTACAGTGCCGGTTAAGTGAAATATAACTTACTCGGGAGCGATAAAGTCCCTCTGACTGCCGACCGTGCCGTTGAACGAGATGAGGTGCTTTTCCGTTGCTCGAAACCGAGAACTCTGCCTCTTGAGCTGCGCGGAACGCTTAATCTGGTGGCCACTGCGCACGCGCAGCTCAGTTGCACTATTTTCTTGTTCGACTTGGTGAAGCTGGAGTATGCTGCGGCGCCATGTCGGCTCCGACAAAATCACCGAGGCCCACTTTGAGTGATAAACCACAGCACTTTTGCCCGAATGTTTCCTTTAAGTCAGTGTGAAAGTTGTATATTGTACAATATAGGTATATTCTTATGTTGTTATTTACTTTTAAATGTGTCGCCTGGGTTTAATTGACGTACGTTTTAGGCAAGGCTTTTGTTTCAATAATTGCTGCACTTACTCGACAGAAAAAGCGTCACGTTGTGATCGAAAAGAGTGACTAAATAAAGAGGATGTCGTTTATGAGAATATTGAAACGTGGTCTTCGGGGTCAAGGAAGATACAGTACGAAATATTATCCTCAGCTCTCAGACTATCCGGATGTTAATGTGTTTGGATCAAATCACTCAGGGCTGCACACAGTGAAACATCTGGATGTGATTGCCATCCTGCAGGACTTGCTTTACAAATCCAACGTCACAATCTGGATGCACTTTGATCCAATGATTCCCGTACTGTAATAACTGCGATTGTGTCTCAGACTATCCCCATGCCAAAAATGCTGTTGAATTGCTGTGCTTGGAAATGAAATGATTGGACTTTATAAATAAATAAAGACGCACAAAGACGATACGTTTTTTGCTATTTTATTGGTTGACCAATACTTTGTGGTAAGAAACAAGCAGCCACAGTACATATTCAACAGGTTCACTTTCCAACGAAACAATTCACAAACTTGACAACGCACAGTCACTGACAATTCACAGTGCCTTCTAAACAACAATCATCCACAATAAAATTAACACCCTTTATACCATTGTAAAAAGAAAAACAACAAGCACCAGTTGTGAACCTGTGGCCGTCCATATCTGTCTCGATGTGGTTCTTTTCATGCAAGGTGTGTGCAATAATAGGAGTGACTCACTCACAATGGCACATTTATTCTTTTAACGAAGAGAAAGCATCCTAAATGTACAGTACACAGACAAAAAAAATGTGGTCATGAATAAACACCACTGTTGGAATGGAATGACACACTTCAGAGGAGGTGAGGGGGTCTGTGCTTCAGTAGCATGTGTAGCTCAATCTTCCTGCCCTGTGGAGGCTCTCCTTATGTGACAATTTTCATTTCTTGACAATTCTTGGCTTGTATTGTGTGTTATGTATAATTCACAACATTACAGTAAATCTATTGTCGGGAACTACACTGGGATACTTGTGTGTTTCTCACGAAGAGGCAGCATGTGACACAGTCAGACTGTGTGGAGAGTGTCGCAGCAAAGATCACACAGTATGTTGAACAGTTGGATGTCATCACCACACAACACAGTCCATCCGTTGGAAACAAAAACACAGGAACAGCCAAGGGATGAAGCGCAGGAGGTGGTTTTATCACAAACAGAAATCGCCACTCATCTTGTGTGACTACAGTGTATGCGCTCTATTGGTGTGTGTGATGGGGATGCTTTACTGAATCCAGTTCTACTCGTTTTAGATATTTAAAGTCAACATCATTTCAAACCTTTGAAAATAACCAGTATTGTTTTTTAAGCATTCGGTCCCTTTTCCTCTTTCTCCTGACAAACAATGAGAAATCGGTTAGTTGTGATCCGTTTAAATTCGGGGGAAAAAACATTCACACATAGCACCTTGACCTCGGTATATTTTAGCGTTTCAGAAAGAAGACTCCAACTAGATTTGTAAAACTCACTTCGGCAAACTGATCACGTTTAAGTCTTGGCCAATTGCTGAGAACAATTTCCCTTTTAACATTAAACTTGTGTTTTAAAATCAGTGCAGTTTTCTTGGTTATTCGAAAATATACAAAAAAACAAGGAGGCTTGGACGGCTGATTTCCTCGGGCCAGAGTTTACCAGATTCCACTGGAGCGACCACCCGGAGGGGCCAGGATCCGAGCCGAGGACCTCTTGGGGATATGATCATCAACCTGAGACCCTATGGAGAGCACGCAATGAACCTCTGTTTTTATTCAATTCAAGTCATTCACATCCCAAATAGATATTTTTTTAATCCCATGAGAGAATTTAACGAGGCTGGTTAGTGCAAATATGGCTGAAGTTGTTTTTTTTTTTTTTTTAAACATACCCGAGAGGCTAAAGGAGCTCTCATGGAGGTCCCGAACCCCCTGTTGCACCCTCACCACGCCTTTGTTAGTGCCGTCTCCATCGATGGGGCTCAAACCAAGCTCCTTCTTCATAGTGTTGGTAACTTTGACCACATCGCCAGAGTAGGGATCCCTGTCAACCCCTTTATATGCCTGAGCCTGTCCATAGGTTCAAACAGATAACGTCGTTAGACTTAGAAGTAGCCTGAGTTGATTTGGATGCATACTGCGCGCACACACTTTTTCTCTCTGCACCATCTTCTTGTACAGGTAATCAGGGAAGGTCCGTTGTGGATAGAATTTTCCGGAGCCTTCGGCGCACATGAACATTGCGTTCTCGCACACCAAACGTCCCCGGCTGATGGTGACCAAAGGAACGCCGTGGCAGCGCAGTCCCTCATACAGGTTAAAGTCTCCTCCTTGCACTTGAGTGCCAACAGAGATCGTCCTGGACAAAGAGCAACATGAGTCACGGGTTTATAACACGTGGGCAGGACCATCCGGCATGAAGTCACCTCGTCGCATCTGGATCCCACACCACCACATCAGCGTCCGCTCCGGGGATGATGCGACCCTTGCGCGGATACATGTTGTAGATCTTTGCGGCGTTGGCGCTTGTCACAGCCACAAAACGATTCTCGTCCATCTTTCCTGTAACCTACAGGAGGGCATTGAGAGGGAGGCATGAATACATTTTTGATAGTGTGGGGGTTTGGTATGTGAAAGGGAAGGCAACAAACATGAATGGCAGCTATTGTATATGCGAGTCGGTGGACGTACCACTCCCCTCTCCCAGATGACGCTCATCCTGTCCTGGACTCCAGGCACTCCATGGGGGATCTTGGTGAAGTCCTCCTTGCCCAAGGCCCTCTGCTTGGTGCTAAACGGACGGTGCTCTGATGCCACAACGCTCAGCGTGTCACTGGAAACGGGATGTGCATTTTCAGTTTGAACCTTATTTGCACATATGAGAAGTTTGTGGAATGCCTGTTCAACATTTGGAAAGACATCGCAGCAGGGATGGGCAACTTACAGTAAATGATGGAGAGGGTGCCACAATTTTTCATCAGCGCTACTAGATGGGTTCATAGGACTACGCACTCGCTTCCTAACCAGATACTTGACTAAAATATGTTAAATATTGCCTTAACTACCCCCCAAAAAAACCCAACCAAACAAAAACTATTTACAATTTTGAAAGAAAATCCGCGGGTGTCAAACTGCGGGGTCCACTGTCGTAAAGGAAACATGTTCAGAATTTCCCGGAACATTTCGACAGGTAGCCGATTCAAAAATAGACACGGAAAACATAGTTGGCATGATCGCCGAGGGACCACCCTGAACACAAGTTTGTGTCATTGTTTTCAGTTCACGTTCGCGGCTCGCTTTCCGCCAAACGGAAGTACCCTGGGACCTATTGTTTCCAAACTTTCGAAACTGTACTGCGCACGTACTTGCCCAACAATCCCATGAGGTAGCCAGGGGTGTTGGGGTCGAGGCGGAGCGGGGGCACGATGACGTGTGCGGCAGCGTGAGCCCAGTCCTGGTGGTAATACTGCATGCCGTTCAACACCGCATGAGCGACTGTGGTCTCTGCGTGGACCACCTTACCTGCAAAGAAAGGACAATCAGTATTGTCATCACCCGTGTTCATGTTTTTATCGTGGTGTGACTAACCCTGCATCTTGGCAGCGGCAATCATATCCCCAGCGGGCATACTGGACACATTCACCAGGTAGATAGGGCAGTGAGCCTGTAACCCAAAAAACACATCAGCGATTGATCACATCATCTTCACACAGACAGGGACATGAGTGTCAGTTTACCCTGTTGGCGATTGTGACCGCTCTGTGTGTGGCCTCTGACTCCAGCTGCAAAAAGTCATTAGAAGCAGACGGAAGGTATTTAGAGAAAATACGTTTTGCGCGCATGCGGTGCAAACCTGGTCTTGCTTGTCCCATCCAAAGAACAGAAAGGAAAGACTTTACCTCTTCTGGACGGCTGACCTCAATGCCTTCGGGTCCACTGATACCCAGATCCAGAGCCTCTTTAGCACCCTATAGATACACACAAAACTTGAAAACCATCTACAAAATGTACTTCCTTGAATGACAGAGGAAATATTAACACCATTAGACACTCCCACTTGTAATATTTATTTTTATTAGTTGGTCGTGTAAACTGCGCAGCATGTGAGTGTGTTGCGCACCTCCGCTACCAGCTCGCCATTCTCGGCGTGGACACGCGCGATGGCTCCGATGTCCTTGCAGGTCTGCAAGGCCTGGTACAGTTCAGAGTCCCTCAGCATCATCATATCCTTGTAGGCCATGAACATCTGGAAGGAGTTCACCCCGTGCTCCCTCACCAGCGTCTCCATCTCATTATGCACCTGAGCGCGCAGCGGATCAAGGCACAGGAATGAGTGTGTTTGCTATATGGGGCATGAAAAGAGCTTGACGAGCAGCCAGGATTAGATCGCACCGCTGCAACTACAAACACGGTCCCCTTGAAAAAGCCACGGATATCTATTGAATGTAAGGCAGTAAAAGAATTGATAGAGTCCGGAAATGTGAACGATATACCGTGAGATTGCTACTTTAGGTCGGAAACAGTAGGTAAAGGCCGATCAAACTCCCTTTTTAATTGCTTGCATGCGAATACTTGGGTCGATGAATTTTCTTTTGGATCTCAGACAGTGGCGGCACGCCTCCGATTGCCTTGCATGCACTCTCTCACCAGAAGGTATGGCACGGATCCCGCCGCCAAAGGCTGAAAAAAAACTATAGTGACTCAGTGTATCTGTCTAATGTGCTCAATGAATATGTGTGTTAACCTAGTTTGTGTCGGGTTTATAATCTGGGTCATTACACATTCCAGCCATATATGGAAAAGCGCGCATGTTGCTGTATGTATTTGGGTTCAGTGGGTTAAAAGCTGGAAGGTGTTTCCTGAGAGGTGTCACGTTTGCTTTGAATTTACCTTTGGCCCCCACCAGGTCAAGCCAACATGCAGAGCGTAGTCGCAGCACGCCTTTGCGTCAGCCAGAGCTCGGCAGTTCTCATAGGCGTCCACGAGGGAGCAGTGTTGCTCGGGCAGGACCAGCGCCATCACCATTGTGGTACCACCCATCAGAGCCGCCTGGGTCAAGCGGATTAAATGAAAGAAAAGATGATCAGATAAAAGTAGCGATATCCACAGGTTGTGGTTTCAAAAACGACATGCCCTTATCGAAATGCTTTTTTTATTTTGTAGCTCCCAAACTGAAAAACAACAGCGCGGTAGATGTGGAAAAAGAGAAAAAAAAAGGAAGCTGAGAGGTGGAGGAAGAGAAGAGTGACAAGGCGAGGAAACTGGGATGAAAACCACATGAGGAGAAAGCACCGCTCAGCTGTGACTCACCTCAGCGAGCTCAGTAGTAAATGCACTATATTGTGTAACCATGACAACAGACACTGCTCTACTATGACATTCGTGTTCCGATCATCCTTGGCTCCTTCCGCCTCTGTGAAATTACACCAACAGGCACCCATTCATAATCGTCTGAGTCAAACTGGAATAACGTTGAGGTGAGGCAAAAACAAGCGACATTTCCTGACCATCAACAGCATAACCGAATAAGTCGTAGTTAAGCTTTTTTTTTTCTTTTTATGATGGTGACAGTTTAACCCTGAAGCTGATTATTGTTCTTACATATTCTGCAATTTTTTTTTTTCCTGCATGGAGGCAAATCTGTGTGTTTTGTCACCCAAACAAACACATTTGAAGTTGAACAGCTTCCTGGAAATGATTGTGTTTGACCTTTGAAGTAATTGCATATGTAACCTGGCGTGTGCACGACACCCAAATAATATGCAAATTACGTTCCCATGTCAAGTTACACTAACCGAATAGAAATGCGCTCTGTGCTTGGAAAGTTGAGTGAATTAACATTTTACTAAAAAAAAACCCATCCCCTACTCTGAAGATAATCTCCTTGCAAGAAACATAAAGGAGACAAAGAGGGAGACAAGGGAGGACAAAACACTGCGAACGACGCAAGGCGCACAAAGAGATGGACAGCAAATTGGAAAAAAAAAAAAAAAAAAGAAGTCCAATCATACTGCCCGATTGTCAATCTCAAAAAGAAATGGGAATGTTTCCCACCATGTTTGTGCATAATAATGAGTGAGCTGAAGCCAAAACGAGTAGACATGCACTCAAGAGGTCCTTGCGGGGCAAATTGCAGATCAATCACACAGCTCAGGCAGTGAGTCAGCCAAGTTAGAGCCGCTCATCAATTTGAACCACATACGTTGAGTCTTATCCATAAGGAAAGCAAGGATGTGACGTTTGACTACCGTATACGTCTGCATTTAAGTGTGTCGGGGGGGCGTGACAGTGGGGGTTGACATGCAAAGGGCCTGATGCAGAGAAAATTGCGGAGAAAGGAACAGGGTGAGACACACACACACACACACACACACACACACACACACACACACACACACACACACACACAATCCAGATTGTTTTTTTTCTTCCCCTCATGAAGCATGGGGCTGGTTGCCATGGCAGCAAGGTCAGTGGGTAGAGAGATGGTGATTAGGGGGCTGCTGGGGTGAGCCGGCATGTGGAGGATTGGGTATGCCCCCCAAAAAATTCCTCTCACCCTATTTCACTCGGCATTCCATTAGACGTTAAGCCAGTCGATTTGCTAAGCCGCAGTGGTGCCGTTTGCTGCTTAATCTTCCAAATACTCGACTGTTCGACATTAGAAGACGGCTTAATACCACCTCCAGTTACTGTTGTCTGTTGCCAGCGACAAAAACGGAGTAAACCCAAACGACGGAGCCCCCAAAGTGCGACGTGGGGGCGCAAATCGTACGCTGGGTGTAGGAGTACCTTGGTGCCACTGTAGAAATCATCCTGGATGGCGGCGTTCATGAAAGTCTGCTGCAAATGCACGGAGGTGTCTATTCCGCCGGGCAGCACCAGCTTTCCGGACGCGTCGATCACCTTGGCCCCGCCCGGAATCATCAGCTCCTTCCCAACCTATAACACAGGTCACACGTATTGGAAAAAAAAATAAAAATCGAGCCAACAAGCGGCTTGCAGCACATTCTTTTTTATCGCTCGCATACACATAGTTGGGTCTCTGGATTGCATGCACGCCCTTCAAGTGTGCGATTAAACAACAAAGTTAATCTTTTGTTGTCGGCCTGTTTGTGAGTAGTTCTCTGGAAGCGAGCTCTTCTGCTCCAGTTTTACTTAACAGGGTAATTTACATCATAAGTTCCTCTGCCCATAATTGGGCAATTTATGTTCAGATTAGCCTGCGGTGTCTTCATGCAACCGCCATTCATTTGCAGTCCGGACGTAGAGGTGGAACCGGCTCATGCTCTTTCCACAAAGATGACTTTTCCATCATGGCTGTTGGCGGCTGGCGATACGGATTGGGTGTCCGAAAGCGAAAGTGCATTTGTCAGGCTTACCTGCTGAATGATGCCGTTCTCAATGTAAACATCTGCTTCGTGGGTGAAGTCATCATTGACCACTTTGCCTCCCTTGATGAGAATTCGCATGGACCCCATGTTGGCAGCCAGACTCCTGAACAAAAAAATTGCAACGCTCGGTTGATAGATGCATGTTGAGACTATTCCTGATCATCGTGCATGTAACGGAATATAGACCTGGCACCACAGTGAACGGAAGCCTTAATTCAATGTTCCCGTAGGACTTCCCTTTTAGAATCATGCATCTAATTAACCTAATTGCAGTCCTTTTTTTTTCATGATGCACTATTAGAACTTAAAACATGACACATTGCGGATACTAAAAACCCCCCCCCCCCCCATCTGCAGAAAAGCATACCTATTAGGTAGGATTGTTTGATTTGGTGCTTTGGATCGTGCGTTTTATAGTCCATTCTCATCCTGACGATGTATGATGAGATTTGACACCAATTTGCAGCAAGAACAAACTCCATAAACATTGTGTGTGTGTGTGTGTGTGTGTGTGTGTGTGTGTGTGTGTGTGTGTGTGTGTGTGTGCATATTCTTGCATGGATGCCTGTTTGCAAGCAGGAGACAATTGAGTCCCAGTCACACAGAATCAAGTCAAAGAGATGGATGAGAACAGAGAGCGAAGCAGAGCGGAGTGGATGGGGGCAGGGGTGGTGGGGGCGGTGGGGTGTCGTCCGGAGAATGAAAACACTAAAATGAGTCAAATGAGGAGCCCAAAAGCAAATGTCACTCAGGTGGATCTTTGGCAGAGTTTAGCGCGGGTCAAACTAAAACCTGACATCCGTGCCACTGTAGCTCGTCTGTGGGGATGTCTATGCTGGGAATATTTTGGGGGGGGAAGGGCGGAGGGTATGGAAAGTAGTGTCCCTCGGGCTTGGCAGCCAGAATAAAAGGGTGGTTTCCCAGGAGATGGAAAGTGGGCTGCTTTCAGTGGAAACAAGGCCCTAACCCCGACACGCTCACACACATGCAAACGTTTGCATGACAGCGTCGCGGAATGACAGCAGCGAGACCGAGCTGCTTATTGAACAACCCACCCGCTTACGTATGGTTGAGTCAAATTCGCCAAACCTATCCAGTCAGCACACAATCGTCTTAAAGGGCTTGGTGTGACCCGCCCGATTGATTAGTTGAACACTGGCTGTGTCCCAAGACTTTTGTTCTTATGCTGGCAAGTATTTTAGAGGAATGTCATCACGAGGGAAAAAATAAATGCAAGCAGTCGAAGATCAGTTGTTGCGACTTTTGATTTGTCCCATCGGGGGTCGCTTGACCTCTTGAGCAGTTTTTACTCTAAATGCCATTCCTGAAGAAACCCACCAAATTTGGGAACGCACAGTGGCCGAGTATCCAAACCCGCAGGGAGACGCGGGTACCGGCACACACCACCGGTGCAATCAGAAAAACCTCAAATGCGACGAATATGGTAACTCACTGCATTTGGTTCGACATTTGTGAAATGAGTCATGCTGGAAGAATTTGGGGATTAAATGCATACTTCATTTGGGTCGGGGGCACAGACAAGCACAAGGCGGCATTTCTCACTCAACCTCGGACCAGCTGCCCTTCAGTTCACGTGCATGCAGACATCCACAGATGGACACAAATGTACACATGGCAAATAGATCCACACCGCTGAACACCGACGCAAACTTGACACACACGTACACACTGTCAAACAGGGTGTCGGTACCCCCTTCCAAAACGAACCTTTAATAAAATTGAGAATAAACTGAAAGTGAATAAAATAAGAGGAGGTGAGGGGGGCGGGGGGGCTGCCAAGTAGGAATTTAATGTAATAAGTTCACATAATGCCAAAGAGCTCATCTCCCGTATCTGACAAATACAAGTGTAACGGCAAAATATATTCATATAACATCCTCAAACGTTCCATCTTCAAATCTATGCTTAGGCAAGCTCAGTTGTGACATAACGGCCGTTTAAGTGCCGTCGCCGTCTCCGCTATTCAAACTGAAGTGAACGCGCGTGTGTTTGCGTGCGTTCGTGTCGTGAGCGAGAACGTGGCAGACAGCTGCTGACTTCTGATCTGGGGTTTAAACACTGCTGCAGTGACAAGGCATGTCTTTGTTATTTGGTACACGTGTTGAAGCAATGTGTGTGTGCGCATGTGCGTGCGGGCTATATAAAAAGCCAGAACATCAGACAATGAGACAACCAATCGGTGATAAGAATAGAAATGGCATGCAGAGATACAGACATTGATATTCAAAGAGGAAAGAAGAAGCGACACCAAGATTGAGGGATCAATCAAAGTACTAGTAAATTACAAAGATATAATACATCATGACAAAAGTGGTTTGGCAAAGTGGGACAGCAATGAGGATTAGGCTCATCTTCTTGATCCAGATGTTAGTCTGCATTTTCGTGAGAGCTGATTTTTTTTGGGGGGCGTGGGGGACTCAGAACGTCACTGCACCTGATGACCGGAAATGTCGCCTAATTTGTCAGAAAATTATTTGGTGACTCACAGGGACCCTACAGAGACAGACAACCATTTACACTCAAACTGAACCCAGTTGGTGTCAGGCGAATGAACCACCGCCAGCGACTTTTATGTGAAAATGTATAAAGTTGTCAAAATGTAAGTATGGGAGATGTTATGAAATTCTGTCAACAGAAATGCATGGCAAAGAAAAGAAAAAAATGTTCATTTTGCCGAGTCATGAGTCATGAAAACGCCTGCACTGTTTTCTCGAATTCGGATAGCGGGACAACCTCAGTCATCAAGAGGATTAATGGAATGAGAGATGACAGAAGGTGGATTAAGACTTCTGCCAAGCAGTGTCGCGTGTAGAACTGATACATTCCTAACAAACTGTGGATTTGCAACATTAGCATAACAGCACATAACAAGGGAACATCAAACCATGGCTTGATTACAATATCCAAGACAGTCAGATGTGAGTTACTTTCTGCTTCATAGAGATGCAGCCGTAGTTAATGCTTTGCCTTTCAGAAATAGACTGGAGGTGGAACTGCAAGGTGTCCCAATACTTAAGACCATCTCATAGACATCACGTTCATGGAGATTATGTCACTTTCATACTGATGGATTTGAATCACTATTACAGAGACCAGAGCACAAGAAAGGAGACATTCTAGCGCGAAGGCTGATCAAAAAACAAAAGAAAATCACAAAATGACTCCATAGCACACCTTTCCTGTTGAACACGCATGACAAGAGAGATCAGAATGCTGGTTCAATTGCGTGGCGAGCGTCCTCGCTGCATCCTCATAGCTCACACAAAAAAAAAAGCATTTGGTGGGGAAAGAGAATAAGCCGTGAACGAATAAGAATCTTACATAATGGGGAACGCAGGTTTTATTATTGCAGTGATGGCACGCCAACATACACACACACGCACACACACACATACACACAAACAGTCGTCGAGAGGCATTTTGTTAACACGTTGTGAAACGCTAATGACCAATTCAGTGACATATTCCGATGGAAAAAATAAATGACACGAGCAAATAAATAATGTAATACACCCCATGACGTAACCAATACGTATTTTTTCCCGAATCTTTAACGGATAATTTAGGCGTTTGCACCCCGACTGTCAATAACGGTAATTTAGCTTGACGGTGGAAGATGAATAATCAATACGACAGGTGGTTTTCACTGACTTCAAGTCAACGACGACGAAGTGACGTCAGAACAAGCATAGTATGGTCATTTTTGTGCTTTTTTTTATTGTCCCTTACCGGTTATTTCCTCGCGTTTTCTTGAGCCCGCTCTCCTGGGTGCTTGCTTGCGGTGTGTGAGAAGAGGACAGCTGGGCACAGCGCGAAGCACAGATGCTACCACGGTCGGGCGGCAGCCAATGGGAAGCCTGGAAATCCACACTTAACGGACACCGTTGACCAATGGCGAAGGAGATATGTCGGTCGACATGGGTGTGTCCCTCATCTCCAGAAACTGCTGTGTTCAAATGCCGTCGGAATGTGGTCATTACTACATGTGACGTCATTATTCCAGCTCTGAATTTACATGGCTGCATGGATGGGCAAATGGATTATTTAAACTATAAAAAAAAAAAAAAAAAAAAAAGATATTTTTTACTTTTTCATTCCACATTATTGACGGCTTCGATTAATTCCCGTGTTACAGGTGTACTGTATGAATAAGGGAAAATACACTCAACTTACTCATGTAATGCAAAACACATGAAATCCATTCACCAAAATCACAAGAAACAGCCTTTTTTTAATTCACGGTTCTTTCCTTACATTGTTCAAGTACAAAGTTAAAATGCCTTTTAATTAGTTCATATTCATACAAGAGTAAAATAATAATAGTGCCTCTTCATTACTACAACAAACTTAAATACAGTCATTGTAAAGACAAACTTTTATACTCCTAGCAATATATTTTTTTTTCTTATTTTCAGAAAACAATTGTAGCACCTTTTTGAAACACCAGCAGTTCCACTTTTCCTAAAAGCTCATCTTTCATTTAGTCCTTGAGATGAGTGTCGTCTGAATGCGCTGCAGCATCGAGTCTGTCGGTGTTGCGTTTGTGTATGTGTATGTGCAGTGTTTGCTCTGTGGATGTGAACAACAGTAATTTATTGTTTTGTTTTTTGGTGAGTGCGAGTCTGATATCAGTGTTGAAAATTGTGCATCACTCAGCCTAAAAGCTGTCAATAGGCAAACCGTCTTCACTGGCTTAAGACAACATCAACTCTAGCATTTGACAGCCGTCAATCAAAACTACGCCTGCCTCTCTCTGGCTTTTGTCTCCCTGCACTCTCAAACAGAAACATGTTCGCATCACACCACAAATTCAGATTTTTGTCTCCAGCCTGTTTGGCTTGCAACTGTTCGATCAAATCGACGATTCGAATTCTGCTTGGAAAAAAATGGCTGCGCCGGATAAAAGGGCGGGTTCTTGGCATGAAATTACTCTAGTCCGCTCCATACGTAGTGTACTGTATATGTCGTCTAACTGATCAGATTCAGTTAAGGGTGTGAACACGGTTTGCAATTAACACACAAAAACTAATGACTTGTATAGCTGCAACGGAACGGAATGTAGTTCTGTCAGAAATCACCGCAAAGGCTTAACTAAAAAAAAAAAAGTGACTAATGACAATGCCACTTGAACAATATCCCAAAATATCGCACCGCCTGGATGGCCGACTGTATACTGCTACCCCTAAAACAACGGACAGGTGACTTTTATGCGGTTGCCGGCTGCTCTAAAACGATGGGGGAGCGATCAATGCGTTTGTCTTCCATTAACACGACTTCAAACTTCATTTTGCGACTGTGGCGCTCTCCCGAAATGTTGCATGGTGAAAACGATCAGCGCTCCCTGAGATGCAAAACCCGCTTTCAAAGACCTCCTTTCCTTTGACACTTGCCGCCAACAGCATGCGCAATCCGTTGAAGTGAGCGATCAGGCAAATTAGGGCCCGCTATTTGGGATCTTAGTAAATCAGGCCCTTTGGGGGGTATTCTCCCTCTTTTTATTATAGCTGATTAATTACGGTATGTTTAACCGTGTCGTAATGAACAGTGTGGACAGGGATGTGCAAACAAACCGACTGACCCTAGGACTAATTTGCACGAGAGGTCAAACTGATTCAGACCTGCAGGGCTTGTTGGTCTGGACAGAGTTGCCTTCTCATTACCATCATCACGAAATACTGCTGATTTAAAAGAAATGCATGTACCAATTGCGTCGTTATGCTACCATTACGTCCAATTTGGGTTCCATTGGTCACCGTGTCGTGTTTTTCGGCAAACCTTGGACTACAGTTTCAATTACAAGGTTCCGCTGGATTGTGAATTCACCCCAGTCGATGCAAGGCCGCAGCTGGTGTCACTTGAACACATTTCTTATTTGAGAGTGAGTCTCATTTCCACACAAGTTCTCCTTACAACAAGACAAGGTCACTACAACTATCTGTAATTAGAGGTTTTCTCTAGCTTCCTTCCCCTCTTGGCTGAGATTGAACGGAACTGAGCACCGACCTGGAACAGTACACACATACACACACACATGCACACACACACACGCACGCACACACACACACACACACACACACACACAATAACGGATTATTGTTGTAATTAACACTACCATTATTATTATCGTCATCATTATTCCCTAATCTAACATGAGATTACACGGACAGACTGACATGCAGTATCGGAGTGGAAAGGTGGTGGGGGGTGGGGTGGGGGGGTTCAGGAGCACCAAGGCGGCGCAGGGTTATGACGTCACAAACAGCAGTGCCATGAAAGGCCTGGTGGTGACGGGTGTCCTGCGGAAACACAGTGACTATGCATGTTCTGTGCATTAACAATTGATGTAGTTTGAGTAAACCAGCACCGCACTGAGGGTGTTTCCAGCAACTGTGTGTGTGTGTATCTGTGTGTGTGTGAGAGAGAGTGTGTGTGTGTGTGTGTGTGTGTGTGTGTGTATACAACCTGCACTGTAGAGCACTGTATAAAGAGCAGAGTTGAAAAAGCACCTGAAGTTTGGTTGTATAGACGGAGAGTAAACATGATGGCGAGGGGGAAAAAAAAAAAAAACAGGCAAAACTGCTGGTTTACAGTTTCTGATTGTTTGTGCACACGTGTGTCGACGGGATGCGTCCAGCTGTCTGAGGAAGGTCAGAGGATTGGAAGGCTTTGTTTAGAAAAAGGTGGTCAACGTGGGACCAAAAGCACCAGACTGAAGGAGATTTCTCAAGCTAACAAATAAAGTCCCTGTTGTTTTCTATTCAATTTCAAGAGGGCCACCGTGCACGAACGGTGCGGTGTTTTCAAAGTGAGTTTTCTGGTATGAACACACGGCAATCCGTTCCACTTACAGGAATGAAAAAGCCAGCGTTGCAACGTCTACCGAGGAGAGGTCTGCCTCCCCCTCTAGTGGATGCTGCTGCTCACCAACTAGAGAACATTTTGCATCCCTGTGAACTAAAGTAAGACAGTAGAGCTGCAAGAACTGTTTGCAGCTTTACAACTGAGCCTTCTTTTAGTTTGTCACCCAACAACACAGCAGCAGAGCACAAGAGGCCGAGGCACAAGAAAGGCTGTTTTCCACCACAAAGCTCCATGACTTGATCTCCTTTTCAACACCACGCTACAGCTAGTTTCATTTGTCTTTTCCCCCTCAACAGGTTTGAATAATCTTGCTGGATGAGTTAAACCTCACGGAGTGGAGCCATTTTGACCAGACTTTAAAAAAGACCCGAAAACCTCCTGCGGTTCGCAGCAGGGGCGAGAGAAAAGTGAATGAGTACTCAGTACGCTCAGCACTTCATCACACAGTACCAGTAACTTGTGGAAAAAAGGGAATTTAATACAAAATGGTGCCATTTCGTAAGTTTCTGTATATTTAACGCCATAATACAAGATAAAATGTATTAATCATCTCACGAGTGACGCTACAACGGTTAAGTCACACGCTGTTGAACTCGAAAGCTACAGCAAATAAAACCCGGATGCTGCTGACTCTTCACCTGCCCTACGTATTGACAGACAATTCTGTCATCCTTTCAGAGTTACAACCTCCTTAGCTGCTTTGTGGAACACGCGTGGCGCCAACAGTACGTAGCAGCCAGGCATTTGGAATAATTCCTATTCCTGTCACATTATTTTTACAACAGTGTTAATTATGAATATTTGTTTTTTTTTGTAGCATAGCAGCAAACACTTGAGAAAGCACAATTTGGGATGTATCACGTCGGGCTAATTCGATCATACAATCGCCGATTAGATGAGACAGCATGTATGGAATCAGTGATTAAAGTTTGATTGAGAAAAAAAAAAGAACAAGCGCAAAGTTTATTTTATATGCTAACTGGCAGTAACTATTACAGTACTCTCTCTACTCTACTGTATTCAAAGCTGAGCGCTAAGTATAGTAAGTTCCAGCATGCCGGAGAATATAATCAGGTTTGCTCAGTAGTTGACTCGCACACAGCCAAAAAAATGGCACACGCTACATAAACACGACAAATACACTGTGCTGAAAATGCTGTTTTGCTAAGCAAATGCTGTCTTTTCCACAATGTTACAGGGGGTTATTGCTGGATATAAATATTGGGTACATAAAAGAGCATCTGTTCTTTTCATAATGTTAATTTTGAAAAGACAGACGTTTCAAGTAACAAATACAGTGCAGCACATTTTGTATGAAATCCCACAAAATTCTAATGAAGCACCGACACGAGCCGCACGGTTTTATTTTTCTTTTTTTTTTCCCGAGCCACTTGAGGGCACTAAATACTTTTGAAAAGGTACATTCCCAGAGAGTGAAGAGTAAAATGTACCCTCATCCCAATGTGGGATTTGCTAAACAACCCTTCTGACTGACTCGAAAAGACAGATAGCGTTTGATAGCAAAGTACAAATGAAAATATATTTGTTACTTTGGCTCACTGCTCCAACGATTAACTCATCCACACTGAGATTTATTCAACAGAGGGATGAAAGAGGAGTTATTTTTGGGAAAGTTACCATGGAGTGTCGTTTTTTTTTGTTGTTTTCTTTCTCTCTCAGCCCTCGAGTACAGCCTCTGTAGCTGGTTTAACCTCTGTGCCTGCTTGGAAGTATTTGGCTTAAATCTGCTCGGGAGACCAAACCGCAGCAACTGAAAACAAACCGAGACCAAAAAAAGTCTCTGAGAGCACCAAGAACAGTAATAAAAATGTCACACAAAAGTGGCACCATTTGGCCTCGACTACATGCCGGCCAGCACCGCAGGTTTTAGCTGGTGTGTGTGGTGGATGTGTGTTTGGATATACTGTAATATGTTCATTGCATCAATAATGCAACTTCAGCACCTCCACAATATGCACGTAATGTCTTACATTTGTAATAATACGTTTTGGTGATGTATTGAGAGAGATGTGGTGTGTCGGTGCCTCGGCGAGACTGTAACTAATGCAAAACAGCAGAAGACATCAGTTTAAGGTCAAGTGGAAGGAAGTTTGGGTGTGATATACACTGTATATCTGTACTGCATATTATACAGTACAGAATATGCACTAGCAAGTGTATGTGTATGTGTGTGTGCACAAGGCAGCACCTGGGGACCAAGATTAGCCAGTAGGTTATACGGGATCGAGGGATGAAGTCCTTAGCGGTGTGTGTGTGGTGTATTCGTATGTCTGTCTGGTCATCTGTTTCATCTGCGTCAGCCAACCTTCATGTACGAGCTGTGTGCTATGTACAGTTACTGTATCTGTCGTCACAAAGTGTGTGTATGCGTGTGTACGTGAGTGTATGTGAGGGTCAGAGAGGTGAGAGATTGAGAGAGAGAGAGAGAGAGAGAGAGAGAGAGAGAGAGAGAGAGAGAGAGAGAGAGAGAGTTGTGTGACTAGTTGCAGGCGAAGTACTCCTTTAGAGGGGCAAAGAGGTGCCTGATGACGGGAACGCTCCACGAACGTCCCAGCAGCCTTTGCCTTGCCAGCCGGCTCATGTTGGACACGTCGGTGTAGTGGACAGGGAAACCAAACACCCTGGAAACACACACGTCATCATTTCGAGAATAACAATTTGCGCGTATGTATATCAAGGTACCTTTCCATCTCAGTGCACCAGAGGATGTCCTCCTTGTTGTCCATGTAGACGGGGAAATGCTCATCTTTCCCCTGCTTCACAGAGTTGGAGCGAGTCGTTATCGTACGCAACTTCTCAAACTGGAATTTGCATCCAGAACACACAAACACAGACACACAAACACAGACATACACACACATATATTGTTTTTGTTTTTTTTTTTTTTACTCCTAAATCTGTCCCGTGATATTGGGTATGAATGACCTCCGCAAAAAAAGAACTGACCTCCATCAACTGTTTGTTGCGAGCACAGAAAGAGAAGAACCAATGATGGACCAACTCAAAAGAAATGGGTACACTTATTATCGTACATTTTTTTTCACTCTTTCCCTTTATTTATTCATCTATATGTTGATTCTTCAATAATCAGATTTAGACATTTTTTTAATGGATGTTGCTGTATTTTGCTAGTTACGTACTACAAGAAATAAATATACATTCATAATAATAATAATAAAAATAATAATAATCCCAATCATTTCACATCATAGACTGTTTTATATCTTTTTTTCCCCATACATGCAAATTTGAGTATTTACTCTCAAAAAAGAATCACACATGCGTGCGTGCAAACACATCGACGCACACGGGCACGCTGATACCTTGGCAGTGCGACCATGCTCGAGACACTCTTGCAGGTCCAGCTTGTCATTCGTCATGGGGCTCAGGGGTCTGTTTGTTGACGATATGTTCGAGAAGCTATTCAAATTATAATTATTTTCAAATTGATGAATAGGGTCAAGTAGCGTGTGGGAGAGGTTTTTTCTCACCTTGACATGCCGGGCAGGTTTCCCCAGAAATATCGAGCACGGTGGGCAGCAGAAACTTCCTTGGCATCGATCATCACAGGGTTGCACTGAACAGACAGAGTTATTTACTTTTCAATATTTATTGTGGTTGAATTTCTCATCACATTTACTCTTATTGTTGGAGTTTTTGGTAGGGAAATAAAAATTATTTTGAGCACACACACATCAGAGCAGGTTTAACTTTTACCTCTAAAAAGCGAGATATGTCCCGTTTGTCACTGACGCCCATGGCGACAACGTTCTCGAAGAGCCAGAAGAAAGGCCGCTCGTCACCCTCTTTTGGTCGAGCCTCGTGCAACAGACGGTAAAACTCGAAAAACAATCGCCCAGTTCCCTCTGCAGAAATTGAGCGACATTTACATTTGATGTAATCAAACTATCAGAGTAAAATTATCGCTTTCGCTCTAACTATCACATATGTACCGTAAAGGCCCTTGCGTGCAGGATTTACTATGGAGAGGTCGTTGCAGGGACTTCCACCTATCACCAGGTCAAACGGTCCCCACTCTTCGATCTAAGGGACAAATATAACATCAATAAAAAGGAGAAGGAGAGCAAGTGTGACTACAGCCTATAAATGTCAAGAAAGATGTGACTTACATGTTTATGGGTTACGTTGCGGACGTCGCCCACGTACATGATGCGTCCCTGGTGTCTGACCATGCCGACGGTGATGGAGTCCTCACAAACCTCGGACGCCACGTACTTATCGACCTGGATGCCCAGATCCTTTAGCACCAAAAGTCCTGAGTGCGTAAGAAATAACAATTTCTATTTGTGATGTGGTGATAAACATCAGATACACACACACACACACGCGCACACACACACACACACGCACACACACACACGCACACACACGCACACACACACACACACACACACACACACACACACACACACACACACACACTCTCAAGTGCACACCTGTGGCAATGCCATCAAACAGTGATAAGACTCTGATTGGCTGCCTCTTTTCTGCTGCGACTGGAGCATACAACTTGGCTGGCTCCTGCAAGACAAAAACGACAACAAGGTTGGGCTCACAAAGATTTGGTAAATTGGATAAAAATATGCGCCGCTGCAGTAATCCTTCCATTGCATCCCATGTGTAGCATCGAAAAGGCCTTTGTAAACCGAAGGCCCTCTTAAATAACCACTGGCCAAAATATTAGAGAGACCGGCTAATGTGGGCCAGGAACATCGCTAACAACGTTAAGCATCAAAATCTTTGACTGACTGTGAGAGGGGCCCTCTCAGCAGTGCACGTGGACTGTGATTGATCCAAATGAAGGGAAGGTTCTGCGCAGGTGACTGTTATTATGTGTGATGTAATGACACAAGTGAGACTCACAAAGTCCTGTTCGTGATTGTTGGCAAAAAAATGCTGTAGTCGGCAAGGCCAGTCATCCCGTCGCCGCAGTAACCCGTAGGTGTTTCGGGGCCCACACATGTAACAGTTCCATGGATCTTCTTTGATGGCCGCCGCCGCCGAGCCGATTGCCCCCAGAGCAGTGACAACTCTCGACTGGTGCCGCACACGAATCCCAAGATCATCTGCAGCGTACTGACCTACAGCAGTTGTTGTTGCCGCACATGAGCACCTCCCTGCCTCCGCAGCAGATGGTGCAGTAGGACTGGTAGCCGTCATCGTCGTACTGGTAGGCACACTCTAAAAAGGAATTCTATCAGAGCCCAGGAGAAAAACAGAGGTTGAAATCATTCAATATTGTATTTCTTTTTCATCCTTCTTACTGACCAAAAAAAAAATAAAAAATCTATATTGTTCACGAGATCACAAAATTTAATAATCCTTTCTACGTATCGTCTTGAATTGGGAAAATATGTTGGGTGATGTTACCCTTACACAATTTCATCGAGCTTGTGCAAAATATTACTCATGATTTATCAGCAAGCATCTTACTTTGCAACCCACACACATTGCTCCCATGAAGAGGGGATGCTCCAGAGAGACGCTGAGGCTTCCACAGGAGATGCAGATATCTGCAGGGGGAAAATACACACAACCACAGAGAACAGTCACGCATTGTGTTTACTTAAATGTTAGAACCTATATTTAATTTAAAATACTAGATTTTTAAAAACTTCTGCACACTGTATTGAAATAAATAAATAGAGATGATACCTTCTATGTTTCGTGTTTTCTTTTTTATCTCCTGTATAAGTCTCTCTGGGGAAACAAAAGAAATTGCGATTAAAACGACACACGGATACATAATGCAAAACATAAAGTTCATGTCATATGACACGTGTAAGATTTCACACGAGTCTTCATCACTGATAAAATGATTTTTGGGGAGGATTATGCGACGGTGATGTCAGTTCTTGTGCTAATACATATAACGTATGATGTTCATACAGTACCCTGCAATGTTAAAGCCCACTTGTCACAGAACTGTTCAAATCTCCATTGAAGAATATTCACATCCTATTTCTGCAGCTCACTGACTAATTTGGAATGGAAGTAGGCTACACCTTTCTTCTTTGAAAATCTTAATCCATCCATTTTTTTTATTCCTAGCTGAGCTGACTTGAGAGCCAGTGTAAGCCCGTGGGCAGGTCAGCAGTCGATCACAAGGTGCCGGTTCATTTCACAGTCAACTTCGGTTCACCTCTGGTTCCTTCGTCGATCACCTCTCTGATCTTGGCTTTTTCCGCGGCGTTCTTGCGAGGTTTCTTGGCAGGGGGAGGAGTATATGCCGCCTCCGGTTCTGCCCACATCTCAGAGTAGACATCTTTATACGGGTTCTGCTCCTCTGTGAAGATCAGCGAGTATGAAATATCGATATTGACGGCATACACTTAAGTGCGTGTACGCATGCGAGCGTGCGTATATACCCTCAGGAGGGTCCAGTGATTGTGGGCCGTTGGGCAAGAAGCCAGTCATAGCCCATTCTATCATCTGTCTGGTCTGAGGTTCCACACCTTCTGCGTCATCACTCGGGTCACAGGAAGGAGTGGGTCGTCCTGCTCGCGTACTTGCCACCTACAGAACAAACATGCACATTCATCTCTCCCAGCTGACTTGAGGCAAAAGGGTTGACGACGCTCTGGACCGGTTGCCAGTCAAGCACAGGGTATGTGTTTTGTCTATATATACACATTATTTAACATCGGCATTATCGCTAATTCAATTTTGTCCAATAACAGACATGAGTGTAATTTTTAAGAAATAAACATGAGAAAGAGTAATTTACCTCCACGTGGCATTTAAAAATAAGCAAGTGTGTTAACCTGCAGAGCCTCAAAGATGGCTTTACGGTACATGGGCTGTTTGTTGTAGGTGGGTTGGTGAAAGGCAGACGAGAAAGAGCTGAGCGGCATGAGTTTCTCCACGCAAACCTGGAAAAGGAGGCAAAGGCGTGGAAGATTTTGGATGGGTCAGCAATGACTTTTAAAACAGAAGCGGAGCTTCTGTTTGATCAATTCACTCACCACCGAGAATTTGCCATCTCCAAACCACATGACCCAGCGAGTCCCATCGGCGGCTCGACTACGGCCGCTCATCCACCAGGAAACAATCCTGCCAGGCCACCAGGAGAAACCTCGCAGCTTCCCGAACACCAGCGTGCCGATGCCAAAGCCCCTGCCATCCTGTGGGCATCCAGGAAAAGAGTCCGGGGGACTTCACTCCTCGTTTTGTGGGTTCAAGATTAATAACTTGTCCAGTTTGGATTCTTTCTGACCCAAATTAGTGAGTCCAAAATGCACGAGGTTAAACAGTCACGAGTGGGCAAGACTGTGAGCTTCAAAACCAACACCAAATGTATTTTCCTTCTACTTTAGCTTTTTGTCTTCTTCAATGATGCCCCCAGAAAAGGGGTGATAGCGACTGATGTCAGGTCCTATTTCCTGGCTAAAATGACAACAGGTCAAAAAGAAAAAAAAAAAAATGGATGAGAATTTGCTCGGCGAACGCCGCTTTCACCTGGTACTCAATCTCTCTGGGCGTTGCCTGGTCTCCTCTGGCCACTGGTTCTGGTGTTACGGCAACGGTTGGCGAGGCGGGATCTGTTTGCTGCTGGGATGGCAGAGGGTCCGGACTGGCTGGCTCCTCCTCTTTTTGAAAGTCGCCTTCTGATGTGAGGTCGTCCATCATGCATATCTCAGCTTTCCTGTAAGCCTGTCTCTCCGCCTGCAAAGGTTGAAGTGGAGGCCGGCGTCAACAAACGGCCACTTGGGAGAACACTTGTTTCACACTTTATTAAAAAGGTAGGCCATCCCAAGTATTGCTGCTGAGGGCAGAGTAGACTTCCTGATAGGCATTTGCTTCAAGTCACTATTGCGCTAGTCACATTAACCTGCGGCCACCAGAGAGATTCTCTGATTGGTATTAAACGTGGGCCTTTGCACTTGATCTGTTAACTGTTCAAGTTCGAGGCTTCTGTGCTCCAAGCTGTGAGAACAATCTCTTAATTGATCTTGTGAAACAGGAAGTGAGCAGGGCGGGACCGTAAGCTGCGATGCAATTCGACTCAAGAAGGAGAGAAATAATACAGTGAGAGGAGAGTGAGTGGTAAAGCCAATAAAAAAAAAAAGTGAAGTAGAAGGACAACAAACGTTGCATTTTCAAGTAAAAAGTTCTTTAAAAAAATTCCTCAAGGAATCCAGCTGGTAAACATTATTACAAGACAGCATTTTGAAGCGCTCAAAGCCAATAAAAATAAAAAATAAAAAAAAAGTGAAGTAGAAGGACAACAAAAGTTGCATTTTCAAGTAAAAGTTCTTTGAAAAAAATTCCTCAAGGAATCCAGCTGGTAAACATTATTACAAGACAGCATTTTGAAGCGCTGCACAGTTAAACACAGAACACGAGGAAGGAGTAGTACGGCAATGAAAAGCACAATCTTTACAATAGCCCATAATTAACGCGATGGAGCAATATTTCACTTGCTTTCATCCTAGTTGTTAGAT